GGCACGGCGGAAGCCGTGTTTACTGAGCCATGGCATATTCTGACAGAGTCTGCTATATCCAGCCGCAGCCGCACGATCTCAACACCTTACCTTCATGTGCATACTGCACGCCTCAACAGAGTTTGCTCCTGCCTCCTTCGAAGCTGTCGTCTCGGGGGGGGGCGCAAGTTTTGCCGTGTGACTCCATGCATGCAGCCTGCCTCCAACCTTGCAAAATTATTATTGACGGTGCTGGCCAGAGCGAATCCCTGAAACTCACTCAAAACAGTTCTCCAGTTGCCCCTTGCAATCTCCTTGGAAGATAGTTCAGAGCGAGCCAGGACGTTGCAGGGCAACTTGGATCCCCATCTGCCACTTCCTCAGATTCCTTGGCAGCCGCACAGTGATTCCTGGGTCATGGACAGGGCACATGTTTACTGTACGGCAAACCCTCCGGAAGCTTGTGTTTCAGAAAATTGATCGCTCAAGGCGGCCGCATCTCTGGTAAAGAAATGCATGCACCCAGCATTGAAGGTTGTGGATTGCAACCTGTTTGTAGTCATTGTGCATCCCTTCCGGTACTGTCCCCTAGATGTTACCATAATGTTTCTCAGGGGCCAGGTTGGCGCTTCAGGTACGCTTTGGAAAAGCATGATAGCCCATCAAAAGAAGCTCCCTTAAAGCCCAAGACACTTGCCAAGCACAATGGATTCTGTTTCATCTTCTCACCGATGCTCTGCAAGAACCGTACGCCACAAGCCTCCAGTCTCAGCAAGGCTGTATGCAGATCCTGCACAGATCCGAGAGCGAACTGTGAAGATGGTGGAGGAATTTGGCCCGGCTCTAAGGGCAGGGAAATTCAGGTTTGCTCTTGGGTTTGGCAGACAAGGCACAACTGAAATGGGCTGAGTCTCATCAAGGGCAGAGAACATGCAGGTCGTCGAAGGCTGGGAAAAATCCAAACTCCTTTCACGCGGAAAAATCCCGTAGCTCCAAACCACGAACCATCTGTTCATTGTTTCATGGGTTGGCTGGTTCAGGTAAAGTTGGGCTGCGGAGCACTTCTAGATATTTGGGACCGTGCACGGGATGTTGTTCTCTTCTGGCGAAGCAGGCCCCAGTTGATACCCTTTCCGAAGTGTACATGCTGTGTTCACAGGAGTATACCCATACTATCTTTTCGACACTGCAATGGGGTCCGACCCCAAATCCCCTAGAAGAAGGTCTGAGTCTTCTACGTGAAGACATGCGTACCCACCCAAGGCGTCAGCAAGTACATTTGCAACCTGGGTCATGGCATGCCGGCAGCTGAGTATTTTGGTGGACAGGGATTTAGGCTAAGGTCCAAGGTCTCAGAGTCACTTGGCACGTACGAACGAAGTAAGTCACCTGCCTGGAGAGAGAATGCAACTTCGCATAAACAGCCACCAGTCATTACTTGGCACAGCATGAGTCAGAAGAATCATCGAGACCGATCCTGCCCAAATGCACGCTTCCCAACTCGACCACCCTGGCCACCGCTCATCTGTACGCGTTGTCCGGGCAGCCTTCATCAAGATCACGGTAGCCCTCGACAGGAACTGTAAATGAGGGTCCCGGGTGATGTAAGCGCCCTGTTCCAGGCCCAAGCATTGCAAGCTGAGCCTTTTCAAATCTCTGGGCTAGCTGGATCAGGCGAAGTTGAAACTGTGACTGTCTTCAAGCCATGAGTCCTCACGAGCCTCATGTTGACAGCTTTGGCCTCCTAAGCACCTGGAGGAGTTGCAGACCCTGCGTATCAAACATGTTGTCCGCTGTCGGCGAAATTGTAATCCTGTGACGGTACCATGGGATGTCTTAGTTTTCGTATGTTTTTTTTCTTTTTTAATGGGGCCAAGTGCTGGCAATGACAATATTCGCCGGAGATTGTGCATTGCTCATAAGAAGTATCTAAGCATCTGCAGTGCAGACGCCTGTGGGGACAGGCTTACAGCAGATTCTGCGTCAATCTTACGTTTTGAACCTTGAGCCCAGGAAAATTGTCCATTTATAGGAACCTGAAAGCTGAACTTCAGTAGTACTTCTGATGCCATTCGTACCAGGTACCATGAACGCCGCTCTTGGCACGCCCAAACTTTGAATAATAGCGCCTGAGATGTAAGTGCCCAGTACTTCCAGCGATGAACACGAACTCTCAGGGTGCCGTCCCACCCGGTGGAGGGTCCTGCAGCCTTTATGGAAGCACCTTGACAGCCAAGAAGGGTGTTGGAGTTGCTGGTCTGTGGATGAGGGCCTGCAAGGTGATGCCTTCCAGAGGTTTCAGCTTGTTGGGCGCGCTTACCATATCAACATAGCAACACTTTGCCTTTTTTGAGCAGCTTCAGATAAGGCAGCGGTTCGAAACCAATCTCTGACGACAAGCAGGATTATCTTGAGACTTCGTCTTTTGCGCTAAACTAAAGAGGGGAGCCTTTCACATCCGTCCACTTGCAAGCGTCTGAAGAATCGGGAGGCGAGGCTAGCCTTCTGTCCTATGTGCTTGACCCTTTGAAAGGAACTTTGCAAGGCATCATCTCTTTGTATCAATAAGGCACTAGCTACTCTGCTTGCAAGAGCTCCCTACACCACAAGAAAGCAGAATCTCCTAGCAGGACGACATGCATCCACAACGCACATTGCAGTCTCACAATACGTCATCAAATTCACGCAGCTCTATCTTGCATTCTTCTCATTCGGCTAACCTTCTCCGTGCAAAAACTCCACGAGGCAGCGACAGTTGAGACCCTGAGCCCTGCATTCCGGCCAAGATGTGTCGAGGTAGATTCACAAGACTGCCACTGAAACCCGCGCTAGTGTCCAGAATATAGGAAATTGTAGATTGTTGATACTTACTGTGACATACAGGCACCAGTGTTAGATATGTTCATGTGTTCAAAAAGTGCGAAGAGGTGAACATGAGGCTTTGAGCCATTGACCCCCGAAGCTATCTACACTCTTGAGCGTGGCTTCGCCGCGGGCGAGCGACTGGTGTGAGGCAGTGGACAGCGTGAAGGCCAAGGACAGGAGCTAATTGGTGACCAGGCTAAGCCGTGACGGGGTATTTGTGCCTGTCGTGTTGTTGCAGAGAAGTGTTGAAAGCCATCGCATAGAGCATTTCTTGAAGCAGCTGCCCAATGCAAACCATGCGACCTGGAATCTTCTTCCTGCTTAGCTCGTCAGCCAAATAAGACCTGGAACGTTCAAACTTGCTGACAAGTGGGATTCAACTAACCCCTGGTGGATTGGGATCTTGCTGTTGAACTCGAGCTGGCAGCTTTCTCATGCTTACATCTAGACCTGTTGTCAAATCCAAAATTGGCAAGAACTCTTCAAAAAGTTGGTTGACAGTCCATTTTGAGAATTGATGTTTCCTTCATCATAGGCCCTACACATTGAACTGGAAACGTCGAACACCTCAGAGGACTGAGACCAGCAGATGCCGGTGGAGTGAAGTTGAAGCGCAGAAAACCAAAAACCCTTTCTGGCTGTAGCGACGCTGGGAGCAGGGGACCCTTAGGTCATGGCAACCGTTAGGTTGGAGTCGAGCTTAGCAAGCCGGTCCTTGCACATGTCGAATTTAGTATTGATTTTCTTTACGCCCGAGGGGGTGGTATTTGCAATGAGCTGATTCCTCAGGTGGCAGGTTTGAGATGTAGGTGGACGCCTCAGAGTACTTACGCCTAAAGCTCACGAGCTGGGGCCGGCATCCATATATGTCCACTATACTTGAAGCCGGACCCGTGCAAGGTTTACCGTCGCAAACGCAGGTTCTGGCTTGAAACCTATGCCAAACACAATTGGAGTCTGTTTTGCTAAATTACACCCCTGTCTCGTATCAAGACTTTGTTCCATGTGCTGCATCTCATAGTATATGCCCCACCCGTAGTCTGCCGAGCCCAATACCTTCCATGTTGACGCAGTTCCTGGCAAGCTAGCCTGCAAACTTCAGAGAGCCCGCCATAGCGACCACATGCTAGATGTGATAAGGCCATTTCTGAAAGTCAGAGTCTGTTTGTGTGAGTGTTGTTTTGGGCATGGCCTTTTAAAGCCCGTGACCATGCTGGAGTTTTGTTTGACCATTGCGAAGTCGAGACCTTTGGGCTTGTGGTTAGGTATCTGAATTCCATTCAAGCTTTCACATGCGTGGATTTTTTATTTCCTCCCACCAGGAGACAACGCAGCGGTTGCAGTTGCTAGATCGACAGAAGCTCTGCTGCTGCAGTGTAACGAACAGAACAGGTCTGTTCAAAATGCAGAGCTCCTTGCATCAATCGGCCCTGCAATGTAAGCAGTTCATGAATGTGCGAGGATCAGGTATGGAACTAGTGTCAGTCAAGTCTGGGCTACTTTCCACCTGCCCGAACTTTCGACATGCAATAGTTAACTGCGTGGCAGGTTGCCACGGCTGATTGAAGTAAGCTGCAGGTGTAAAGAGAGGCAAGTGTGTAGGCCAGCTACAAGCATTAGTCTCAAGGTAATTGTCTGCGAAAGCACCGATCTACGGGCTTAACTTGGAGGATCTTTTGAGTTCAGGTCTGTCTCGACTTCCGATTTTTTCAATTTGTTCGTATTCGTAGGCTCCTGTGTGCTCCTGCCTTGCAAATTCTGCGGGCGGGATGAGCCAGACAAAATGCATTGATCGCTGCTTATCTGCTGCACAGCTTGTGTTGAGAGAGTTGTACGCGGGTTTGAAAGCTTAAGGCCCGGGGTTCTGCAGACAGACTATTCTGTTCAGAGTCATCCTGATTCAGATTCTGACATGGGACTTCTGGGTGTGAGACTGTCAAAACGAGCAGAATTCGAGCAGTTGCGGTGAATATGATATACATGTGTTGGAAGTTTGGTTCTTGGCATGCTGTCACTTGAACTTTGGACATGTGAAAGGGTGTTGTAGGGCTGAGCATGCTACCAGGGACTGCACCCCTCCGCAAAAGATTGTGATGAAGGTCAAGTATGAACGAAAAAGTGCACCGCATCTAGCAAGCGACAAAGCCCCAGCTCAGGGACCATCTGGGCCATGCGCTGGCAATGTGGGGCTCTCAGCAGTTCGCGCTCCAAGCATTCGAATTTTCAAGACTCACGGAGTATGCTTTGGCGGGTCGCAATGCCCTCGAAGCAGGCTGTGGGTGTCAAGGGCTTGCCTGAGAAGGTGAGGCTCCTCAAACCGTTTGCCTACAACCAAGAATAATTTTGAGCGGCTGTACCTGAAAACCCTGCTGCTTTCACTGTTGCCATCTGATGGCATCTTGATGCTGCTGTCCCTGTGTCCAGTCGTGGTTGCCGACTTGATGAGGTTCATGGAGGCGCATGGTAGCCGCAGAAGGCGCGAGCTATTTTTCAGTTTTGCGTGCGGTAGCAGCTGGCCGCATCAAGCAAGCTGGAGTCAAGCCAGGACTCCATTCGTGTGCGGCTTTGCTGAAACAAGAACGTTGAAACTCCGCTCTTGTTGACCAAGAAAGGTTGACAGGGATGGACATGACATACCTGCTTGCTCAAACGTTTTGAATCCACTTCGGCCTGATTTTCAGGGTCCTCAGGTGTTCTGCAGTATATTGCAGTATCAATATCAACTCTCAAGCCAGGAGACTGGCAGTCACTCAGGACGCTGGTTTCAGCTTGGTCCGAGATGTTGACTTTCATGAAGAGAGACCCTCTGCACGGCCAACAGTTGCTCGTTCCACCGCAAGGCAGTGTTTGAAGCATTGATCCTGTTGGCACTAAAGACGTCCTCATGTATGTGTAGAATGAGACTTGCGGAATGATGTCCTCATGCTTCTTTGCTGGTAGGCGCAGCTCATGGAAGTCGCTGGCCAGGCCTGGCCGGAAATGCCAGAGCCCTCTGCCTCACCTCTACCTCCCCTCTCCCCTGGATTTGCAAGGCTCAATTCTGCCAATGACGCTCCTAGCGGTCTGGGTTCGGGAGTGCGCGCATGCGTCGCAAGTGTATTCCAGCACTGAGTTGCTAATTAAGGTTGGGTGGCCGTGAGTCGAAGGTCGCTTTAATCTGCTGAAGAACCACGTGCGCAGCCCAGAACATTTCCTGTTCCGGGACATGCGAAGAAGGGACACCCAGAAGGGCTTTCAAAATCATTGTTTTGGTTTCTTCTGTGTTGAAGTTTCTTTTGCTTGCTTTCCAACTCATGGAGGATTGTCCTATTGAGTATGCATCCAGTGCATAGCTTCGTGCCTTACCAGACTACTTCAATGCCTCGCGACACAGCAGCATTCTTGGCTCCACGGGCTATGAGTCCGCAAAGGGCCGTTAGCCTTGCTTAGCCCGACTGAGCATCATGTCTGCTTTTAAGGCGGGGCTTGCACAGTCACTGTCAGTAAGGCGGTGGCTCCTTCAGCTTTGGAGCAACATACTCGGAGGATTTCTGAGGGTGGCACATGGTGGCACGTTTTTTGGGTATCCAAGCCTTGGACTAAGGCTCATTCACAAACTCTATGCCCAGAAGCCGACCCCTAAATCTTCAGCTGCTTATTGACACGGTGGCGTGAGATGATTCTCCACTTCAGAGAGTCAGTTGCATGGGTCAAGCTGATGCTGCCTGGGTGTTCTTCTTGCTTATGCACACGCATGCTGGTTCCACAACTGCTTGCCCGGCAAGCTTGACATAAACAGTTTGTTATACAGAAAGAGGTGGTCTAGCCCTTGCAGCAGGTGAATTTTGGCGAGTGTATGTGGAGAGCATGCAGGGTGCGGACTCACGGCTCACTAGGGGGACCGGAGCTCGCGAACTCCATTCTCTGTATTCTTGGGCTCAGCACGACATTGGGGGATTTTGAGGACCTCACTTTGACTGGGCTCTTTGCAGGTGCTCATCGCAGCTTTACTCCAGCTTGCCTACGGCATCACTCCTGATGTCAAGCGCTGAGACATTGCTTGGGTCTTTGCACAGCAGCTGTTCTCCTCCGCTAGGTTCTGTCTATGGGCTAGGAAAATGCGGAACTTCAACATGGCAGCCAACGTTTCGATCAAGCATTCAGATTCTGACGGTACTTCCGTCATCAACGTTGGATGTGCAGGGTGCAGGACTGCATAATTCAAGGAGGGCCCAATGCTTGCAGCATGAAAGATTGAGGAATTGCACGAGAGCATGCCCTGGCCTCGCATGGCAGGGGATGCACGCAGCATGTCATGGCGATTTACCATTCCGGACCATGCTGAAAGCCAGCGGGATTTTTTGGGACGCGCCCAATCTCCAGGTATCATTGTCTGTCTTTACTGCCGGTCCCGGATCTGCTGGGATGCAAGTCTATCTGCTAAAACAGGATTTGCATTGCCGACAGATTTGCCAACTGTGAGTGCACGCGGGGCGCCGGAAACAACACATCATAAGTCGGAAGCACTGCCATGGGTGAATGACTTTCACTAGATGGCCAGCCTGTCCTCCGAATAATCAGTCGATCCTGAAGGATGCATCCTCAGCATAGCCTGTGCCAGGCTCATTTGTGTTCACATCTTGTGCAGCGCTCAGGAGCTGCAGCCATGGCTCTACAGCAGCGCTGGCTTGGACTTGTCCAAGTCAGAAGCCGAGTCCATGGCGCAGCGGGACCTGCCTGAGTTTATGCTTGCAGCATCTTTCAGTGCAGCTTAGGGGGTTCCGGACGTAGGCAAATTGAAAACGAAGTGCATTTGCTTTACGTGTTTGCCTTTGAGCGGATGCCAGAGCGGCATCTCAACTCCAAGCCCCGTCCAGAGTGGGCGTAAAGGATGTAACGGTCAAAGTGTTTCAAGCTTGAACTCAATTTGCGAAGTGATGCAAGTCCATCCGACACTTGCTCACGCAGATGCAGCAGCCTGGGGTTCGATTGTGTGCGATGAAGCTGTGTGCATGCGGGACTGTGAGCGACATAGATGTCATCAAGCGAAGGAAGCGCCAATCTTGACAGACTGCGGAGTGACCCTCGATGACCTGAAGAAGCTGAAGGACGTTTTGTGCCCCGCTGGTACTGTACCAAATGTGCCGACAGTATCCGGTCAACCCCAGTTTCAATATCACGCTTGAACACACATACTCTGACGGGGTTGACTCAGGTACTCTGCCTCGTACCTGGACTTCACCAAGCAGGTCCAGGGATCTTTAATTCGGAGTGTGGGCGACAAAAATAGTTTACAAAAAGCTTGGGTAAAAACAAAGCTGCAATTTGCGGCTACATTGGAGCCACATCCTGGCACTGCTGTTAGAATTGCGGATAATGATGCCTGCATGGCTACTCCGCAATGCAGGAAAAGCCTCGGCTTGAAAGGCCTCAAACCTCAACTTCGTATGTTGAACTAGTGAGGGCTTGAGGCTTTCCAGAGAATCCCATAGTTGTCATAGTTGCAGCTTTCCTTCCCGAACCCAAGAGCCAGTGCGAAATAGATGTCGTTATGCAGTAAGCACTTTGCGAGCTGGTATTGCAGCTGTATGGCCTGTTTGTCCCCAACTCTTCCAGGATCCCAAGAGATCGTCATAAATTACACTGTTTCTCTGTGCCCCAGCTGTCAAGCAATGGTGCTTGGAAGCCAAGCTCAGTTGCAACAGGGGACCATGAAAACACACTTTAGAAATTCAGCATTTGTGTCTGGTTTTCAGTTTATTCACTGATCCTCGAAGATGCTTGTAGATGCTTGTGCTGATCGGCCCTATCGCAGAGCCGGAGATGCTTCACCTCCGAGAGATACAAAAGCAGGTAACTGGTGGTGTGCCTTGAGGCCTAGGGTCTTGTCTGCATGAGAGTAATGTGACCGAAGGTTCAAGGGGACCTCAGAGTGAGACCCGAATTTAGTTCCCGTGATACTTTATGAGGGCTGTCGATGCTCTAGCATCTTGACACGTGCCATTCAAGGCAGGCTAGATACAAGAGAGAGAATATCGGTGATACGTAGCAGCACAGTTGATGAACTGCCTCTTCGCACAGCTGCGGCGTGGCATCCCTGCATGGCTTCCTGCTCGAGTATAAAGATTGGCAGGAAGTCCAAGAGAAACTGCTCGACCTGGCGAAGCAGCATGTTGATCCCGAACCTTAGCTGAAAGCAGGTGAGGGCAGGTGGCCTGAGGTGTTCCCGCCGATCCAGAGCCAAGGCAGCCAAGGCAGCCAAGGCAGTTCTGCCACACTCACACAACCAGGAGCCTTGCCCTGCAACCGAGGATGTTCTCAAGCAGATGTACACCACTCTCTACAGCTCTTCCTTGGTCGACCTCCCAAAGGCTTGATGTAAGAACTACATTCGGTGCTCTCGGCTTTTGTTCCGACGATGTCCCCGCTGATTGGGATTCAGTGCTGTCTGGACATCTGAACTTATTGCTGTGGTTTCAGAGGCAAGAAACCAGTTTGTGCTGTAGGACTTGTAGCACAAAAAGCGTACGTGCAGGCCGTGTAAACCATCGTCGCGTGTTATTGATGATGTTACATGTTGAAGGTGATGACAAGTATGATGGTAGATGGCGGTGTTGATGATAGGGAGGAGGAGGACTGCGATGTTAGTGGTTATGATTGACAATCATGATGCTGGCGGCAGCAGATAGGCGTGTAGGGGGACCTAGGTAAGCCAGTTTTGCTTCTGTCTCCTTTGCACATCGGATGGTCGTTATGGGTTGTTGATCTTCCAGGTTGTGCTGTGTAACAACAGCGGGACCAAGGGCTGTCAGTAGCATTCAGTAGCCTCGAGTGATCAACTCTTTTGCTTCAACGGCAGCTGAGTGGGAACAGCCCGTACATCCATGGAACTAAATCAACAGTTGGCCTTTGACCTGCGCGAGCCCATGAAAGCCCTTCCTCGGGCGTGCCTTTTCTCCTCAAGCTTGTAACCAGAAGCGGTGAACCCACACATGATTGATATATCATGTTCCCAAAGTACTTCAGTACTGTGTATCAAAACCAACCCCTCCGAAGAGGGTGTCAGGCTGTGGCGAAATCCACGTCGCTGGAGCTCATGAAGGTCTTCGACTCGCTTTTTCCACAAGACAGGTCAGACTAGGTGCGTGTTCTGGTCGACGCTGATGTTCACAGGAGAGAAGAGTTTTGTTAGGTGGGTCTAGTCTGTTGACATAGATTGCATTGTTCGATCTTAGCGCATTCCAAATACCGCAGATACTTGCACGTGCCATTTCCACCATAATTACATCATTAAGCTCACAAACAGCTCAAACCAAACCCCTGCCGCGTAACGCCACTTTTCCTGAACAGGACATCACAATAAGATGCTAGTCAAGACTCCTTGGCCCGTAGCGGACGTGACCAAAACCAGTTCAAGTACTGAGGCCTATGCAGAGCCAGAGCAGGTCAAAGGCCAGGCTCGATTGAGTTTTGCATCACGATGCAGGC